CAACATCACCAAATCTCACCCCAATCGGCCTGACGGGGGCGCTACAGCGATCAAAAGTACGAAATCGTACTCCTAAACCGTTGGTCGCAGACTCAAGTGTCTCATGCCGTTGGAATCCTTGGATCACGACGAATAAAACACGCCTCGGATTCGATTGCAAAATACCAAACCATTGCAGAAAGATTATCTGGAGTGTGAATATCAATAATTTTACCAAACTCAGAACACGTATGTAAGAGCTCAATCTGAGGTCACTTGAAAAAAATTGCTGAGCTTGGCCACTTGGTGGCGATATAACGGGAAAAAAGCAACACAACCATTTGTCCAATCAACATGAAAATTGGTATGCAGTGTCTTTGTCCAATGTGCCAGAAGTATCTATATGGACATGTGCGTATCTAAAAAAACATGGCCGCCATCAGCCAATGAAATTTGAGCACCTATTAGACATCGTTAATGGAGGCTGATCGGAATGAAATTCGGTGGGACTTTTTGACTCATGGCCCTAAAGGTCTGTGAGACATTTGAAAGAAATCGGCCACTAGAGGGCGCTAACGAGTTTTACAGCTCTGTAATCACGCGGTGTTTTACACATACACACAATATTCATATCATATGATAGATCTCCTCATTCTGAACAACTTTGCCTCAAGAACCACTGCTGTCAATCAAATTGTACATTAATTATTCAAGATTATTTTAAAAAACGACTTTTGTGAACTAGTCCTAGGTTTTTCACTCAATCTCAACAAAACTTCTGCAATAGAATTCTGTGGACTCTCTAGATCAATGATTATCAAAAAATGTTGAACTTTTCACTTTGAACAGCTATAACAGGGTCATTTAGAAAAGGGGCGTGTCCAAATATACCCAAAAGCCTATAAATCCTAAAAGAAAACTCAAAACTTCATGAAAATGGGTGAGCACGTGCGACAGATGATTCTAAACAAGCATGCAAAGTTTCATGGAAATCCAACCATAAGTGGCGCTATAACAGTCATAAATGTTAAAAACCATCATATTTCTATATGGTATATTACCTGGATTTCCCTGAAATGCTTTTTTTATTTTTTTTTATCATTGATTTAGGTGGTTACAGGCTTGCTAAATAATACATATTGTCTTTTTTCATATGTGCTTAAATGCCTTAAAGCGCTTGAACCCCGGTCATTATTTGTGCATTTTTATACGTGTTTACCGGGGAGCATGTTTCACTGAAGTTTCACTTAAAGCTAATATTTAAAAACACTAATTCATTAACACTGTTAATCTTTAGAAAATCTCAAAAAGAATATCCATTTTCATATAGTACACAGCAATGTTTTGATGTCTAAATTCACTTCTATCTATCTATCTATCTATCTATCTATCTATCTATCTGTCTGTCTGTCTGTCTGTCTGTCTGTCTGTCTGT